GGCGCCGGCGCGCTCGGGTTACAAAGTTTCAGCTCCGGTCGCCGCACTCGGAATAAAAGGGGGGGCGGGGCCGAGGACCCGGGGAAACTCGTGGGAGGGGTGCGTGGGCCCCGACGCCCGCGTCCCTTGGCTGGCCGCTCGCCCGCGGCCGGCTCCCCACTTTCCTCTTCTGGGGGCGGCTGGGGAGGCGCGCGCGGGGAGCGCGTCTCGGGGGTCTGTGGGCAGCAGGACCGTCTGCGGCGGGGGGAGCGACAGCACCCCCGCGAAAGGTGGGGGAACCTGCCTGTTGTGTTCTTTGCAAAGCCTCGGATCGATATTGCTCTGCGGTGGAACCCTCCGGGTTTTACATTTCTCAAAGTAAAATTGCTTTCTCGTTTGGATGGCGGTGGCGACGTCGTCCCGCTTTTCAGAAGAGGGCGGAAGGCTTGAGCTCCGCGGGAAGCTGAACGGTAATACATGGAGAAGTTTGGGTTCCACGTGGCCATGTTATGCGACTTATACTTGCGACGTGAGCTAATGCCCGTTTGGATTAGTCATGCGTTTTGGCGGAAAGTTGTCAACCAAATCGAAGTTATAAAAAGGAAAGACATGTGCACAGCTCAGCGAGAGGGCCCTTCCAAGTTCATTTTCAGGGAAATATTCCCGGGAACCCTGAACTGGGGGAAATCCTAACTCCAGGAGCTTCTACCTCTCTCCTTCAAGCCCCCGCCCTGAGTAGCCCCCCCTGGGTTCCACCTGTGAAGTGTAGCTCACACTCATAGCTAGCGATTATGTGAGCACCTAATAAACCCAACCTTCAATCAGGAGTGTTTACTGATATGGTCCTCCCTGGCAGACTGTTAACCCCTCGAGGGCAGCACCACCTGCATGGTACACAGAACTTTCTCTCCCTTCCTTCCTGCCACCTCCCTGGTAACACCCAACACAGAGTAAGCAGTCAGGTTGGTGTTTATTCTTTCAATCAGCATCTGGTGTTTATTCTCCTATGTGCCTGCCACACTGCATTCATTATTAAATATTTGTGGGATTGTGATAAGTGCTATTTTTACAGGTCTGTGTGGATGCACGAGTTAGCAGGATGGCTAGCCCTGGCCTAAGCATCCATTGCAAATGATGTGATGAGCAGAAGCAACCGAGAACAGCCTATGTTCAAAAGTGGAAGCATTAGACCCACCTTTCTTGCAACGGCTCAGAGCTAGGAATGCAAGATCTGTTTGGCTTTGTTTTTGAGCAAGTGGTTGGCAGGCCAGGAAACTTGTCAAAGGCGATGACATCATTCCAGGCAGAGTAATGGTTAACCACTTTTATGGCACTGCTGGGAGAAGGACCTTGACTTTCGTGGCTGCACAGTTTCTGTTTTCTCCTCCAGTTGCTGCAGTCACGCCGCTGTATCACCTCTGTTATGATTGGGGCCATCAAGCATTATCTGAAAACCAGGTTATTCCTGATTATGAAAGGGAAGCTGTCATAATTGCCTGGGATACCATGAAAACATTGGACCTTAGGTGTCTTGTTATTGTGAAGCCAAGTGTTAGTGATATCACCATAGAATTTTACTTGATACTTCACCATGTTTACAAATTCATTTGCATTTGTCATTTATTGGCAAGTTAAAAAGCTATAACTCAGAAACCAATAACAAAAAAAATAAAAACTAAAATTCCTGGAGTCAAGCAAGAGTTTGCAAAATTTCATCCCACTGAATCAACACCCTGTGGCCAGTGCCTAAATACATCATCACTGGGGGGCCATGCCAACATCTCCAACCTGGGAGCCCAATTAACTATCCAAATGAATTAGCGTTCTGTTTACACTTCAAGTCCTGAACGCTAATTACTATTTAAATAAGGCCTTCTACCTTAATTACAGCTGTTAGCATGTGAAAGTTTTAAGGAGGCCTCCCTTCCAGTCTGAAATGCAAGCTCCAAGTCCTCCAGTGGGCAGATCAGAAAAGCAGAATCTAAGATAAATAGCTTTGGAAATTTAAGCATACACATGATGATCATTTAGTATTTGTTCATTTTTCTCCTCTGGGGGTGAATTTTGTGGCTCCCCTGTGCAGCTATAGGTTGCCAAACAGCAGCCTCTCTTGTGCTTCAGAAAGCAGAATTCCCCACTGGCATTTTGAGGTTTTTCACAGTTCCTGACACGTAACAAGGAACAAGTTGGATTAAATTTGTAAATTTGGACTCTGATGCCAGAGTCCAGGTTTCCTAGATTTCTCATTCCAGTTCCTTCATCTTTCTGAATTTGGCTGTTCCTGGACATTTAGGTCAGCTATTCAGTCAGTGGAATATTTATTCAGTATTAAGCAGGACACAGGGGGATTCAGAAACTGGTCCAGTAGCCCTTACAGATCAAAGGCATCATGTGCTTTTCTGCAGGGGGATTTTCTTCTGTCATCTTTAATCAGAGGAAAGTATCCTGGTTGACCCAGGCAAGGAAGGAGTTTTAAGGATTCATGTGATATTAACAGCTTGAGTTGGCCCCAACTTTATTCACTTTTTTTTAATTGAGAACTAGCAATGGAGCATTTTTACATCAGTGGCTATTATTCTAATTTGTATCATCAACAAAGGAAGAACGAATTAAGAAAACTTTGAAACTAATTAACTGTAAAGTAGTACAGATTTTCTAATGGGTTACAGAAAGCAAGCAAAATAAACTGCTACAAACATTCAAATTTATCCCACAATCTAAAGTCCTTCTCTTAATTACCATTTCATTCCATAATACTGTCTTTTCACTATTTTCAGAACATTCAAATTATTGAATGTTACAGAACTTTATGTGATCCCACAAAAGACCCTGAACAGTCAAAGCAATCCTGAAAAAATAGAACAGCGGGTCACACTCCCAGACTTCAAACTATACCACAAAGCTCTAGAATCAGAATAGTATATTGTTAGAGTGAAAATAGCACACAGATCAATGGAACAGATTGAGAGCCTAGAAATAAACCCACACTTACATGGGCTTACCTGTAACTTCTAACAAAGGAACAGTATGATGGAGAAAGGGAATGTCTACAAAATGGTGTAGGGGAAACCGGACAGCCACATGCAAAAGATTGAAGCTAGACTCCTGTCTCACAACAGACAAGAATAGTAACTCAAAATGGAAGGCCTGAAATCTTAAAACCTAAAAGAAAAGATAAGCAAAACACCCAGAGATAATGGCTTCTGAGATGGCTTTGAGGACTCAACTCCATCAGCAAGGGAAACAAAAGCAAAAATTAACAAATGTGACATCATATTAAAGCATTTCTGCTGCAAAAAAAAAAAATGGTAGTTAAAAAAGGAAGACGCCCACTGAATGGGAGAAATGTTTGCACATCATGTATCTGGTAAGGGGCTAATGTAGCTGAGATCTGTGAAGAATTCATACAACTCAACAAGGAAACAAATAACCCAAGCAAAACTTCAGCAGAAACACTAAGTAGATACATCTAAAATGAAGATGTACTGGTGGTCAGCACGCATGTGAAAAAAAAAATTATTATCAGAGAAATGTGAATCAAAATTGCTGGTATCAGTAGTACCAGGAACAAGTGCTGGTGAGAATGTGGAGAAAAGCAAATCTTTCTAAACTGTTGGTGGAATGTAGACTCGTCCAAATCCTTTGGGAAAGAGTATGGATTTTTCTCAAAATATTAAAAATAGATCTACTACACCATCTAGCAACCCATTTTCTAGATAGCCCTGCCAGGAAAACACTAATTCAAAAAACTGTATGCTCTGCTGTGTACATTGCAGCACTGTTTACAGTAGCCGCGTTTTGATAACAACCTTAGTGCCCAGTGACAGACACGTGGGTTAAGATGTGGTACCAGGACCCTCCCTGGTGGTGCAGCAGGTTGAAGCACAGCACTAAGAAGCTAAAGCCACTTCAGCATGAGTTCCATCCCCGCCCCAGAGGTGACCCACATGGTATGACAGACCTCTCCTGACCTGCCCACTGCTCCCCTCAGCAGTATACTTTGTTAGTCAGCCTGTTCTGTTCCCCACTCTGTCTCTGGTGAGTCCTCTCACCGCCCCTGCACCTCCAGCCTGTACCCCAGTTCTGTATGCACAAATAAATAAATCCTCAAAAAAAAAAAAAAAGATGTGGTACCAAAGGGTGAAGTGGAACTTTGTGGGGACAACACCCAAGATAAGAAAGCACACACTGCACAAAATGGAAAAATTATATCAAATATATATAATAATAAATTTAAATAAGTAAATAAATGTTCTATAGTGGTGATACTTTTATATATTTAACTGAAAAAACTCATTGTAGCATAAATAAAAATACATTTCAAAATTTTAAAAATCTGTGGTATACTCATCGGATTTAAAAGCAGAAGATAAACATTTGTGGTCTGGGACAGCAGGGACGGAGCTGGAGGGAATGACGCTACGTGAAATACGTCAGGAGAGGACAAGTAAGGGTGACTTTGTCCATAGGTGGAATACAAGAAACAAAGCAAAAAAAACAGACAAAAACCAAAACAAGCCCTGAAAGTGGACTGTAGGAGACAGACTCCTGAAAGGGGAAGGTACAAGTGGAGAA